AAGAGGTGAGAGAGAAGGAGAGATCGCCGGGGAGAGCCCTGTAACATGCCGAAACACCGATAATTCGACCGTGTGGTCTCGAACGTCAGCCGATATTCTTTCCCACGGATGGCCCTCGGAAAGGACGACGAGATCCAGGACCCGCCAAAAGGGATTCCTGCCATTCCGGCAGGGTATGCCCCGGCGAAGACGTCCACGACCCACCTTCCTCCCAATCGCAAAAACGATAAATTAGTTGATTTACTCGCCCGTTTTTTATCGGGAAATAATTCCTGCCCGGGGACGAGGCCTCTCGGTCCTGGAAGATTAGCGCAACAGGAAGCACGCCGGACTTCTTCTCCCTCCGGCCGCTCCGCCGCCTTCCTTCGTCCTTTCTCGTCCCGGGCTCCTCGTTTTCTTACGCTCCCCACACCCTCTGACCGTAATCGTTTACTTTAACCTCTCTCGCCGTGCCTCTATTTTCCCCCGTGTCGCCCGCTTCTCGTTCAAGCTGCGCGATCGCGAGCAACGAGGATTACGCAGGAGAGCTTCCAGACGCAGGAATAAAACGTGACTTTGATTATGTACTTTGTTCAGAGATTTCATTGGTTAGGTTGCTTGAGACTTTCGAGTAAGAGTGGAAGAAATTTATCCCAATGTTTCGTCATATGGCTTCAAGGATTCGAAAGACGCGCTGACATGCGTCCAGCGCGACGCTGTGTAAATGGTACTGTTCGAGTCTCCGTAGTTACCGATCGGTCAGTTTTTACAGTCGTCCAGCCGTACGTGTAACCGCACCGAAGAATAGCGAATTGGTTTCGAGAGTAAAAGACGAAAGCCGATCAATTAGAGCCGCATTCCGTCCGGAGCACTTCTCCCGAGCAACGGGGAACAGAGGTGCGCGAGCGAGATCGCGCGAAACGCGGCCGATGGGAGGAAGGCGAGGCGTTTCGACGGAGGCGGAACGGACGCAAAGTTTAAGGGTTAGCGGAGAAGCCGGGAGGAACGATAAAATCGGGGCAGCAGGAAGGCGGGCGAAGCGGCACGCGGCGCGTCGCGGCCGATCACACGCGCGTGGCATCCCTGATGGGGTTCCCGTCCACGGGGACGCCCGTGGGAGGCCCCCTCGCCGATTGTTAACCTCGCGCTGACTGAATTTCGTATTCGCCGGGCATAATGAGAGCCGTCTCGATCGGCGATCGAGGCGGATCTTCTCGCGGGACCGTGAGAGAACGACCGGTTCCCGTTGCGACGCTTCCGCGCGCCCGTTTTTTGGCGGACGGTCGAGCCTCCGCGGGCCCGTCGTCTTTGGACCTGAACGCCGGATTATTTTTGTACAACTTCCATCGAAAGTTCTTCTCTTTTTCACGCAACCTTCAACAGAAACATCCGTAACCGTTCGCTAATCGCAAGAGAAGAGATCGTGACTGGTTGTCTTCGCTCGTTCGCTTTAGGGTAAACCATCGCGACTTTCTCCGGACGAATCCACGCTGTCTTCGATTCCTCCCGGAGTCGAGCGTGACGTTCAATCTCGCAGGCAGCCGAGATTTCCGTCCAGACGGAAATTGGCACGCGCTGGTCGCAAAGGTCGCGTCGCTGCGAGTCGGCAGTCGTGAGGAGATGGCCGGAGGCGGCGAGCAGTCAAGGATCCGCTGCGCCGCGGTCCCCCAGGACCCGCGCAGGACATTCCGGGACGTGGAACGACGAGCTGCACGCGTGACGGCATGCGTAATAATAGTAAAACTGAATGAATTCGGGCTGATGCCCCGGTATATCTCGGCGGGCCTCGGGTCGTGCGAGACCGCGTCGCGCGTAGAGGAACAAGCCTCTAACGAGGGGAAAGGGGGCGGCAGCGAGAGCAACGGGTAAAAAGCCGAGGGAGGCGGTCGTGGTCGCTGCCGTTGCTGGTGCTGGTGCTGGTGCTCGAGTGACCGTGATGGAGACGAGGGGGTGGTCGGCCAAGATCAAAGGGGCCGCCGTGAGAAGTGGCCCCGCTGCCCGAGATTCTTGTCTGCCGGGACACGCTGGGAGCTCCTCGCGCACCAAGAATTTGTTTTAGTATCGCGGTCAGCCTACTACCCTTCTCCGGTGCCACCTGATTCCGTCTGCTCGCGCTTGCCCGACCAAGTCCGGTTAACCCCTTGGCTAGCGTTAAAAGTCTTTGTCAAAGAAACCTGAATTATCTATCGAACTCTCAGATATTCGAAACAGAATGAAGCTACGTGGATCTCAACGTTTGAATAACTGAACCATTCCCTTGCAACTTCCTGCTCTAAATCTGAGCGTGCGAGAGGTTCTTATTCCAAGTTAGGTTAATTCCATGTCTTTTCTAGCTCGTGCTACCTGTCGAAATAGGTCGAGTTCACGAGCATTGCATCCTCCGAGCAACCGCTACGACTGGCTCGCGTCGGCGTTCGATGCGCAAGGGTTAAAAATCGAATCGATCGTAGGCTTCGACGCGCAACGCTCGATCCGTCGATCGACCCGCGGAATTCGCCGGCCAGTGGGAATACCGATCGTTAGAGAGAGAAGGAACGAGGACGGGAGCAGAAGGTAGGCGATGCCCGGTGAAAAAAGGAGCAAGAATCTAGGGAAGGCGGAGGAGCGGCGGCGGGGCCGGGGACGGCGGGAGTGTCGGAACCATTAGCGCGGATGCCTGTTCGTATGCGGTCAGAATCCTTTTATCCCGTACAGAGATTCCTGCGGGATTCCTTCGTTCGTTATCATCGCGTGCAGCAGCGCGCGGCCAACGAGAAACGAAACAAGGTAGAAACGTAGGAGGATGGAACGCGATGGGAAACGGACGCGCGGGGGAGACGCTGAGGGTAGGCCGAGGAGGGAGGGGGAGGAGAGTCGAACCAGTCTTCTCTTCGGGGCACGGGCCTCCCACGATATTCGCCCGGCGAGGAGTTATGAAGTCGTCCAACTGTGGAGAACCAGTCGGCTATATTTCGCGGGCAGAGAGAGAGAGAGAGGGAGAGAGGGAGAGAGGGAGAGAGGGAGAATGGAAGAGAGATGATAAGGAGAGCGAGGGGACAGCGCGCGCAGCCTCCGCGGAAAATCCGTGGAAAGATCGCGCGCGCACAATCGGCCGAGACTATTCAACTCGAATTACGCCTTTATTCTTTTCATTCTTCCTCTTACACGTCCATAAATTACAAAAAAGAAAACAATCGGGAGTTATTGTCGTTACACTGTGCGTACAAATATATCTTAATCACCGTTTTCTCGTAGGGGGACGGGGTCGGGGGATGAAATTTAGGGCCGAGCATCTGACACTGGGCTAATTGAGAACGGTATTCTAAACCTACGGGACAACCGTGCGCGGTCACGGTCCGTCCGGGGTGAATTGTCGGGGGGGCGGGTGACGTAAAAAAATAATTTATCCGCCCTCTCGCGGAGCGTCGGCTTCTCTCGTCTCGGTAGATTATGTACAAACGCGCGGCTACTTTATGGCGCGGTAGTCTGACGAACGCGATGCTAGAAAATATACATTATAGATTTTTACATTCGATATATCCGGTATTTATAATTGTATTTATATTCATATTTATATTTATATTTATATTTGTATTTATATTTGTATTTATATTTATATTTATATTTATATTTATATTTATATTTATATTTATATTTATATTCATATTTATATTTATAATATGTATACGCATACAGCCGCACTCTATACGTATATACAAGCGCGCGATCCTGCGGATCGGAATAAATAACGAATCTAAGATCGTGCCTCGCGCGCGGCCGCGGGATCGAGAGGATGGAGGGCGTGTGGCGCGCGAATTCGAAATTCGGTATCCCGAGAGCGAACGGGCAACGGGCGGAGGAGGGGGATAGAGACGCGTCGACGGAACGGAAAACGATCGTATGTACATACAGTGGAATCTACGAGGCGTCGACGTCTCAAAGTTTCGTCCACCCGGGCTCGTCGGGAGAAGGTTCTCAGCCGACGATCGCGAACCACCGAGCTGCTCTCGACGCTTTCCACCGCCTCAGTCTCTGGTACGCGTCCGTGGAGCGTCGCAATAAATACATCTGTGTACGTCGCGGTATCTCGATCGTCTCGCGTAATACTGGGAGAGAAGAGCTCCCCGTTCGGACGAGGGCTCCGCGCGACTGTTCAACCGTTCGAGTGCCAGGCGGCGCGAATCCATTCGCCGAAAAGTGTCGCTCCAGTTCCTTCTTTCGCTTGTCTCCCTTATAACCGTTCACCTTCGTTCTCCGTTACCCTCCTCGAAGTACAAAAATACGATCGGCATTCTAGACTCGTCCGAACGGTCGCGCCGCTTGGCAATTTCCGAATTTTCGCGATCCGTGGCGTCGAGACGGTTGAACTCGCATAGTTTCGCGGTAGGATCACCTGGACCACCTTGTCTGGGACAGTGCCGGGGGTTGATGAGCGAGAGACTACGGGAACATCCTTCACCGGGAAGGGTGTAGTCTCTCGGAGAAGAGCTTGGAGAAGGGAGGGAGCGGGAGAGGGGGGAAGGTGGCCTAGAGGCATGTGTGTATCGTCTTCTTGTTTCTGCAAAGCTGGCACTTGACCTCGCAACACCAGTGGAAGGTGCATGCGCATCTTTCGACGACCGTCACCTCCTGGGTCTTGAAGCCTCTGCCGCAGCACATCAGGTCGCAGCCGTCGACGCCGATGCTCGTGTCGTTGCACTGCCTGCCGTGCGTGCCGAGGATGCCCAGCTTCGGGTTCTTCTCGCAGAACGGCGGGGACGGCTCCAGGTAGACGAGATCCTTGGACCCGGGTGGCTTATGCTCGGGGTTGTACGGTTTCAGGTGGAAGTTGTACCGCTGCCGGCGACCCAGGCCGTCCCGGTGCCCGTGCACCGAATTGCTCGCCGAGTTGCTCGCGATCGCGTTCCCGTTCCCGCGGACGCGGTCCGAGTTGCTCACCATCACCCTGGACGCGCCGTCGAAACGGTCCTTCAGGTTGTCGCCGACCATGCGGAAGTTCGGCAGCCTTATCCAGCAGGTCTTCACGGTGCAGGAGCCGGACATGCCGTGGCACTTGCACTCCTGCCTCATTTCCGAGGACACGTGCTGCAACAGAAAGCGAAGGTCCGGTGCTACTCTGGTTCTTTCTCGATTGCGTCGTCGGCATTTAGAACTGGAGCGTCTAACTGTATCTCCTTCGACAACTGAGCCATTCGTTCAGCTGGACGAGAGAAGCAGCAGTGTACATTGATCAACACGTTAAAACCCGCGCGATTTTATACAGCAAAATTCACGAAATAAAAGAAGTATAATATTAAATCGTTTGCTTGAATCGCATCATTATTATCGTAGGTTCAGCAGGATGTCATTGCAATAGCATTATTTATAATATAGAAATTTTCAAATAATCATTTAACCTCCATGGCATTCAACGTGGTGAAATTCCCTTTTAAATGGAGGGTCACATAACAGTACCAGGTATTAATACAAATAATATCGTTGGTGAATAGACACCAGTTTATTCCTGCTCCAAAATAAAGGACACTCACCGCTCTGCCAGCCTCGTTGTTGTGCAGGTTCATCTTCTCGCGGAGATTCCGTCCGCGTTCGCCAGTATCGACGAACTCGCGGGAGAATTTGAAGCCGTACCCGATATTGTCCGAGCAGCCGCCCCATTCCCAGTCCTTGGAGCCGGACGGCGCGCGCGCCTGATGGGTGTAGTCGCAGGAGCACGACTGGATGCTGCCCTCGCTGCACGCTCTGGCGATGCTGTGGGTCACGGCCGCGCTCGTGATGGCGTAGATGAACGCGGTCTCCCGGCATCCTGCAACCAAACGATTCAATCCCTTTACGACGGATCCGGTGATCGCGGACGATCCTCGGCAACCCCTAAGAATCGCGGTTCCGGTCGCGCGGACTAAACTTTTGCGGCGGTCGGTATCGTGGGAGGCGAGCGAGCGAGCGAGCGGTGACCACAGAGAACGTCTCAATCCTTCGTGGACTACCTGCGAGATCTCTCCCGGGCGCAGGTGTGGAAGGAACCCGCAACGAACGGCGCGTGCAACGGACAAGGACGCTAGCCGAGCAGCCGAAAGA